CCCCCCCCGCCCTTCCCGCGAACGCATATACCAAAGGAGTTTTTGTTTTGATCAATTAACAACATTTGAAGAATTATTCGTATTTAATCCTAAAATGACTCCATACCATCAATTCCATTGTGGGGTTCAATGTAGTGCGTGGGTTAGTCTGCAAATGGTGGGTTCATGAGAAATAAAAAACCTTGGATGGCGTTCAACAAAATCAATGGGGATGCCCCAACAGACATAAATTTTCCTCTTTTGAATAATCCCAAGTTACTCAGGAATATGGAGAATTCATGGACATCACCCAAACCATAATTCAGGACTGTCTCATGCTCAGGATAAGGACAGCCCTATTGAAAGTACCCAGGAAATGGAAACCTAGAAGATTTAGCCAGGAGCGATTTCAGAATTTTTGGGATCGAACAACGATTCTCTGAGATATTTACTGTAGATAATTACTTAAGAGATGTATGTTGAATCGGCAATAAAAAATTTTTCTATAAGAATGTGAAATTTGGAATTTGGTTTAGTTATTGACTTGAGAAAATCTAATTTGGAGTCAAAGAACATAAATTTCAAGGGATTCGATTTTTAAAGTTTTTCCATTGTCAAAAATCTGAAAGCGATTTGTTTAATAATGAGACTTAAGATCTAGAATTCCATAATTTTTAAATTAACGAACTCTATTTTGAGGAGATTGCTCTTCTGAGCTCATTGAGTCTTCTCACAAACGCTCACGACACTACTGGGCAGATCATCACCTTGGATTCTCAAAAAAGATAATTTTTAAAACTTTTCAATAAAACTCGGTCTAAAAAAATTCCAGGATTCATTCTCTGATTTATATAGATGAAAATTCAGAAATTCAAATGTTTAAAGATTTTGTTCTGTAGGAAAAATGAGGAAAATTATCGTTTACTGCATTTTATAACTGAAATTGACAATTTTTTAATCGAATAATCGAATTTGGACGGGTTAGTTATAATCAATTTGGCTTCAAAAACATTAATTTAGAGTTCAGTAATTTGGACATTCAGTACATTGCATGAAATTAGATGGATTTGATTTTTAAAGATTTCCTTGTTTCCAACGTTCCGAAAATGATTTGTTCGTTTGATTTGAGACACAAAATTCAAACTCATCTTCAGGGATCAGGAATTTCACCATAATTATATGCACGTTGATTGAATTGTCAGAAAATACGCCATTTTGCAAAAATTCGTGTATTGTGATGAAAACCTTCTGAGAGAAGAATGAATCTCTAATGAAATTCGATCAAATTCCACTAGTTGAATACCCCAAAAATTTCTTTCTTCCTTAAAAAAGATCCTGAACTGTCTTAACAAAGAGAAGTCGTTTTTCTCTGCAGGATCCTGATTGTGTCGTCATCTAGATACTAAAAAAAAAGTTCATGTGGAACTTTTGTCTCATCTTGCATATTCTGTCTTCGGGATTGGTTTCGATTATACCGAAAGCTATAAAGGTGAAGAGTGCGAAAGACGAGATGATTGAAAAAAACAACTCATTGCAACCAAGCATTCTGTTTTTTTGACAAATTTCAGTAATCGTTTGAATTGTCTCAAAATCAATTGATTCACAGGAGCAAAGAGTTAGTAGCTTTAATATCAAACTTGTGAATCACAAACTATTTGGTATTTATCGCAGGTATTACAAAAATAAGATCTTCGTAAAACCGCCTTCATTTCTGTATGATTTTTTTATTAATAACAGCACATGCAGACAATATAAGTACATTTTTCCGTTTGTCTATTCTCTATCCAACGAAAAAGAGGAATAAACAAATGTAACTACGTAAACGCATGAATACCCCAAAAACAATGTATTACTAACGTTTTTGGCATGGAATCTGTCCATATTTATTCTTTATAATCTCGGGTGAAACAAGACGTTTAGCATCTATTGTAGATATTACGAAAATGACTCTTCTATATAAATGGCCACATTATGGTCCGCTTAAATATTATTAATGATAGATTCCCTGAAGTGAGTATCACGAAATTTAAACGAAAGTACCTTGAGTATTACATATGAAAACTTTTATCTATAAAATAATGTTAATAATACAATATTTTTGTACCATCTACTTGATAACATGGTAAATTGAAGAATGAAAGAATGGTTTATTTCCACTATATGGCTTTACACCTTTTACAGTTGAAGTGCAATTTCCGCGAATATGCATACGTTGTATATAAAAATATATCACCTCTCAAATTACGGTCGGTAAAATACCATTCGAAAATTTCAACGGAAAATTGAACGAATTCGGAAATAGGGAACTATCACTTCATTAATAATTGGAAATTGTCAGTTAAAATCACATAGACCAAGAACTTTGTTGACAAAGTATTATCACATTATTAAAGGACGATCATTCTAATGTCGGAGGGTCACCGAGAATTCACTATCAATTTATTATTCATTCATATCCGGACAAATATCGGATGCACTAAAACGGTGAGACGAATAATTTTTGTCTAACAATTGACTGACAATTCATTAACAATTGGAATTTGAGGGAAAATTTTACTCCGCAAGACAAAAAATTTAACTGTCAATCAACTAATAATCTACTGTCAATCATCGATATTCCGTATGGTCCTTTATCATCGCATTTCCATGCTCTTTTCCGCCCTTTTTCAATTTATTCATGAGAAACAAGGATGGTTTCGCTGAATCATCGAAATTACTGATAAGCTATCACTCAGCTGTGTATCCCAAGTTTTTTCTAATCATGCTAAATTTATTCAAGATAAAATGTTGTGTAACTATCTCTACTTGAGTGTTCATCGACTGTAGAGTTGGCAACGACGGATTCTGTTCTTGGAGAACATGTTGATGAATCGTCGGATTTAGAACTGTCGATTCGTTTCCGACTAATGGTATTTCATCGTCGTTTTCATCCGACTAAAATCGCATAAAATTTATGAATTAGTCGCTTTGTAATGAAATCGCTGTATCAAGTGCATAACAAGCTGTCAGTGGTCATATGTCGGAGTTGTAGTTTAAAAGAAAATTAAATTCTTTGGGAGATCATGAACTTCGAAATGGTTGAGTTCTATTTTGTTTCTGGAGGAAAAACATCGCTTAAAAAGTGAACAGCATTACTGGGATTTAATCAAAAAATCATCTTCTCATTTCCGATAATTTTTCTTTTGTGAAAATTGATTCAAATTACTTGATGAATTGAAATGTCCCGCTATAAGAGAAACAAAAAAGTTGAAAAAAAAATAGGAAAACGTACCGAAAGGCTAATAGTTTATGACAATGTTTCGTACATATGATTCGCCATGAACGGCCAAATTTGAAAGTAGTGACGAAAAAAATTACATACTTCATTTACATTGATAAAAATGATATGATGTATCAGTAAGCTGTCACGTGGCGCAATTCACTGGCATGTGAATTTCAAGAAACCGTACTATCACATAACAGTCATATGTCACATCGATATATCGATGACATATAATTCGTTCGATCACTATAGTGATTTGACAAAATGATTCTCAAACGGAATGGTTTATGATATGTATAATATTTTAAAATGTGATTGTACACACAAAATACTCTTTATAAGGTCGGGGGATGGGAAGAAACATCGAAAGATTAATCATTCAAAAAACGTAACCTATTGAGACAAAAAATTATTTACTGTCACAGCACATGTAACTAGATAATTAAAATGTGACAGTAAAAAATATTTCACATGATATGACAACAAATAAACGGCCTTGCAAGACTGTTACATGATTATCAATTTTTTCTGAGGTGACAAATTTAAAAATACGACGTCATCTCGCATCCCTGGATTTGATGATGTGTAGAATATATATTATACAATGAATGGAAAAACATTTTCAATTTCTTACAGAATAAAATTCGAAAATTTTTAGAAAGGCTTACATGATAATTGTGTTTCAGCATTTGATAATTCATCAGGCACGAGGCTTTCTCCCAGTTGGCAGCGGATTGAAGCCCATTGATCAACCCTCAGAGGCTGTTTTTTATCCGGAGGGTAACCAATTGGCGACAAATTTAAAAAGTCCATATCTTTAGCAGATGACGCATTCACAGGCGAAGAACTACGCAATGCATCGTCAACCATGCCATCGTTCAGTGCCTTTCTGGTACAATCGCTTGGTGTTTTCAGTGGACCAGTCAGGTCAAATACTCGTTGCGATGGCGTTGGTGAACAATGACTTGGCAGATGCTTCTGTATGGACGGCAGTGGGACTAAAGGGCTGCTGATCATTTTAACTTTCAACTTGGTGTTCTTGGGTTTTTTAAACACGGACAACACGTGATCCGTCAGTGATGCCATGTGAGGCTTGAAGTTTGTAAAATGATCACCGCAGCTATTAAAGGCTACATATCCATTGGATGAAGCTAAAATACTCTTCAAAATGGATGGAAAAGTGAACGTACTCTCGTGGGAAGCAGACATTCAATGGGTCACTATGGCAGAGAGTCCCTGTCGGATGAAATTATTGGAGTGCCGGATGTCCACATAATTGCTCTTTCGCTTGTCCTTGGCAGTCGCCTCGTCCGTGAGGACAGGTTCATAACCAGGAAAGTCCAAGACAAAACGTGTAAATTTTGAAATTGGATGGCGTACAATAATCAGTGAGAACATCCTCGACGATTTTGGGTTTATTGAAATTCCATTTGTATCAAGTGTTCGGTATAATCTATCCCGATCATCATATGATACTGATTTTAAGCATTAGCGCCAGTTGGCTTTGGCGGAAGGTGGCATGATTTGCCACTTATCAAATGGCCTTTCGGTTTTTGGCAGATCCACACTATTGATTGGAGACGAATCTCCGATTGTGGAATATTATGTCGTTGAATTACATTTTCAACACTTCTGTCAATGAGGGTCTTTCGTGCCAGAACTGTCTTCCCAGACCCGCTGGGACCTATGATAGTCATAGCAACCAGCTGATGCTCCATAATATTAGATAATTTCAAAATTTCTGCACATGCAGATGTTGAACGTGCCTCTTCAAAATTGATTAGCTTCCAACGAACTGGTTTTCCTTCCACAAACACTACCGTGACAAATTCAGGTCCACATCAAATTCCAAGTTGAATTATTTTAGAGAATCACATTTCCGGTTTCAGAATGACAAAATGCATCGTCGTCGTCTATCAGCAAACTGTCATTCGACTCTCATTTTCCTCGAGGTCAGTTTTTTCTATCAAAATGTGATTTATCTTCCTAGTACGTAGTGGATTGTGTCTTTGAGATTTATATCGAACTGTTCGATGTTTACCACATTGATTGTGAGACACACCACACAGGATACAATATCGTTAACTCTCATATAATTATCAGCTGACGGTCATCAATGTACTGATTTCTGTGATGATTCGTTTTTTTTCTCAATTGACTTTCTTTTTATAGAAGAGCATTTCAATTCATCATGATTCACGAGTAGATTTTATCAAAGAAATCGATCGACAGAATTAAATAAGGAATCTTCTGATAAATTTCTAGAAATCCCGGTCAGTTTTTCAGTGATATTTTTATCCGAGATTAAAAACGAAACTCAACTATATCATATTGCAAAGAACAAGAATTAGAATGTTTATGTAATTACTTAAATGAATTTTCAGTTCACAAAAAAGGAAGGAGCAGAAGTCAAATTGTAATTTTAAGTTCGAATTTTGAATTTGAAAAATATTCTAAGGAATTCCAAGTACGGAACGATGATATGAACAACAGATTAATTGAATTGCCGAGCGAACGGATTAAAAAATTTCATAGCAACATTGGGGTGCGCTTTAACCAAAGTTTCACCAAACATTGACTTCAAGCAATTTACTCTCTGAATTATGTTTGAGAAGAAGTTGAGAAATGAGTCACAATGAGAAAAAAATTTAATTGCTAATAAGTTGGGATATATTATTTTCGTTAGTAGTATTGCTTTTTGCAATGAGAATGTTTATGAACAATGAACATATTTGCCGCAATTGCGTGATGAAAATGAAAAGACAACCTTTCAGTTTGCCTGAGGTAATAATGCAAAGTCCAAACTACTGAATCTAGAAATATGAAAATTTTAGGGTAGGTTCTATTCCTGATGTGAGCATTCATTGAGAGAATATTTTGGAAAATGAAGGGATGTGTTCCTTCATGAAATCCAGCTCTAGGAACTTCAAGAAAGTTTGCAGATTCCTTGCAAAATCAGAAAACCGTCGGTCTTTTCCGAACATAAAATAATTTAGGAGTTTTTCAAAGAATTAAAAATATACGGATTTCTGAAGAAACTTCAGGAAATCCAGAGGTTTTTCGGAAAGTAGAGAAAATTTTAGGTATTTCTCAAATATTTGGGAATTTAAAAAAAAAAAACAATGGGAGAACAATCTATGAAAAAAAAGCCGGAATTTTCCTAATAAAATTGATGAGAAGGAGGAACGTGACCCCGAACACTGCACTTTGATTGAAATGAAAAAGCAAGAAATTACTTAAGAAATAGCTCGGATTTTTTCAAAGATTTCAGCAAAAAATTTCAAGATTCTTAAAAAAAAATCACAAAAATTTTGAGGTTTTAGGAAAAATTTTGAAAAAAAAAACAGTGAAAAAGATCAAAATGAGTGAAAAAGTAAAAACTGTGAAAAAGATCATGAAATGAGGCCAAGATAATCCAAATTAATGAATAATCATCAGACTTGGTCATATAATTTTTCAAAAAGAAAAATAATTGAATGCTTTCGTAAAGTAGTAAAGGAGAATGACCAGGGAGACGAAGATTATAAAATTCTGGGATGCGAGCACTTTGATAATTATTGTTTTGCACTCTAAATAGAATTTCACGGAAATTCAGAATCAATCACGTGAATTGAAATATTGAAATCGAACAGGTGATGAACCAAAACGCATTCTTTCCATTGATTTCAATACTTAGTACAATAAAATCCTAATGAATCATCAATCTTGGTAAGAAATGAATGAATGAAAACCGGAAAGGACATCAACGTCGCGGCCGCGACCGCGCTAGTAGAATAAAAAAGTTCATGGTCCGGTAATTAGTGTTTTCCCATGTGACATTTTCAAACGCCATATTGACAGGGTGCCATGGGGATGTGATTTTGGTTGCGGGCGTTGGAGGTGTTTTGTTGTGTAATTTTCAAGTCCTGATTAAAAATCGATTGTCTATTTTCTAGCTTTCCAGACCTAATTACCGGCCCGGCGCTATTAATTATCTATTTTGTGAACCATAAATTAGATTTTTGTATAGAATTCTAAAAAGCTGTAATTCCCAGCCCCGTAAAATGGTTTTTTTGGACAATTTTCTGGGGAATTTTCTAGGGACATGTCGGGCAAAAATCCATCCATGCGGGCCTTAACTAATCCTGAAGATGGAAAAGGCAAAAAAACTTAAATAAAATAATATAGTATAAACTAATCTAGCGACGAGCGCGAAGCGCCCGGTCACTAGTATTTATTAATTAAATAAAAAATAAATAAAATATACGTTATCTGTAGATGAAATATTAAAATAGCAGTTGAAATACGGAGTTGCAGTTAAAATACGGAGATAATTTAAGAATAATTATTGCAGTGAAGATTTCAGATGTAAAACTTGAATACACGTATGATAAAAATGAATAGAAAACCTAGCGTATCCGCTAGAAAATTCTATTGCAATTCTATAGGAATTCTATGGGGGTTTCTATAGGATTTCTATTGAAAAATTCTACTTGTTTTTTGCACTGATTATATTGTATATTCGATAAGAAAAAGTGAATAGATTTCGAATTTCTGTTTGAATTTATCTCTCGAAATTTTTTTCTATAAGAATGCTTCAGCATCAATTTTCTAAGTTGTTTCCACTCGGATTCTGTAATACAAAACAAAACAAAATCCAGCGGAAAAAAAACTTAGAAAATTTGTGTCCGAATTTCAATAGAAAAAATCTCAAGAGAAAAATTCTAACAGAAATTCAAAATATGTTGACTTTTTCCTATCAAATATGCAATATAGAATCAGCGCAAAAAACAAGTAAAAATTTTCAATAGAATTCCAATAGAAATCCTATAGAAACCTCAGAGAATTCCTGTCGAATTCCAAAAGAATTTTCTAGCGAATTCGCTAGATTTTCTATTGAATTTTTTTATGCGTGAAATGAATTGACGTTATGCAAAGATCACATAATTTTGTAGCTCACTTTAACATTCAAGCAGATCTACTAAAAAATATCCCTGAAGAATTCCTCTCATCATTCGCCAGTATTTCTGCAACGAACGCCTTCCAAAATTAATCCTCTAGTCCTCCTAGCTCAGAAAAATGGAGATATCTATTCAATCTTGCCAATAGCTGTTTCTTCGTCTCACTGTCTACCGCAATAATCAATTAACATAGTTTGACGTCCTCCAGACGAACAATACGGAGGCATAAGTCGATGGCATCTGATGGTTCCAAATTTGCGCATACAATCTTGGCCCTGAGGAACAAGAAAAGCTAGGATAGATGCAATACTGAGTTACTAATCTACGGCATTCACTCAATTGTCAAAAGTCCGTATATAAATAATTATTACATTAATAATTTCAGGTATAAAACTTGAATAATGAATGGACATCACGCAAACATCACATAATTTTGTAGCTCACTTTGATATTCAACCAGATATACTCAAAAAGATCCCTGAAGCATTTCCTCTCATCATCATTCACCAGTATTTCTGCAACAAACGGCTTCTAAAAGTCATCCTCAAGGTTTCCTAGCTCAGAAAAATGTAGGTAACTTTTCATTCTTGCCAGTAGCTGTTTCCTCGTTCCACTGTCTCCCGCAAAAATCAATTGACAGAGTTTGACGTCCTCCAAACGAACAATACGGAAGCATAAATCGATGGCATCTGATGGTTCCAAATTTGCGCACACAATCTTGGCCCTCAGGAACAAGAAAATCTAGGATAGATGAAATACTGAGTTACTAATCTAAGGCATTCACTCAATTGTCAAAAGTCCGTATATAAGTTATTATTACAATAATAATTTCAGGTATAATACTTGAATAATGAATGGACATCATGCAACTATTATATAATTTTGTAGCTCACTTTGATATTCAACCAGATCTACTCAAAAATATCCGTGAAGAATTTCCTCTCATCATCATTCACCAGTATTTCTGCAACAAACGCCTTCCAAAAGTCATCCTCAAGTCCTCCTAGCTCAGAAAAATGTAGATATCTTCTCAATCTTGCCAATAGCTGTTTCCTCGTCTCACTGGCTCCCGCAAAAATCAATTGACAGAGTTTGACGTCCTCCAGACGAACAATGCGCAGGGATAAATCGATGGCATCTGATGGTTCCAAATATGCAAAGGTACTCCCAAAATTGGACTCCCACAGCTCTTCTAGAACTCGACGATATTGCAGATACAAACTTCCCTTATATTTTTTTCCGCCCATTTCATTTATGATGTTCAAATTGTCCAATGCCAGTTGCCAGGAACCAACAGCGTGATTATCAAGGCATGAAAAAATACCATTCCATGAGGGAATGCAAAGTATCCATGGCCAATCCATCAAAAATACAGGTGAGCGCATTAAACACGTCCTCATGAAATGATCCAGTTGTTCATTGCTCATTTGACCAAAAAAATGCAAACTCCTTGCAGAATGACTGTTCTGGGTCAGATTGAACAGGTCGGTATATCGTACTGAGAATATTACACTATTCGTCTGCTCATCCTCCAATTGATTCCAGCAATAGTCACAACTCCACATATTTCCCACTCTCATACTTTCAATAAATACAGCTTGAGTGACAGTTCTCTCATTCAGCATTTGATCAATGTTAAAGTATCGACGGAGGCCGTATCGATCCGAAGGATCATTTGGAAAATTTCCATGGATTTTGTAATGCCAGAACAAAGGAAATATGCTGGTATTTCCTGCGCAATCATCCCAAGAGACAGTTGAGGAAAATTTTCTGATATAGAATTCACAGCAGTAGTAGCACAACTGGCACCAAGTGTAGAAGTCTATAGATTCTTTTTTGCTCACGTAAGATTCTAACATTCTTTTACCATCGACGCATCCAAAATAGTGCCAGCTAAAATTGTTGATGAAGTATGACATTTCTTCTTCATCATCAATTGCCGGTTCTATCCTCTGCATACGTAAATCACATTTCAACCATTCGAACATCCTAGTTCCCATTGATTCTAGGTAAAATTTCAAATCATTTTTTATAGTTGTTGGTAGAAGTAATTCGTGGAGTTTTTTGGAAATCACGTAGTGAATTATTTCACGTTCTGGTCCACGTTTTGTGAATATATGACGTTCGACCTTTTCTACGACGTCTGGCTGTCGCCATAATAACTGACATATTTTCACCGCGGTTATGTGTTGTAATTTTATTTGCAGTGAAAAGTTTCTGTACTCGTATGACATTGTGGCACTTTTTAGTTATATTTATGGGATTAAGATTTTTTTAGAGGTTAGGTTCTACTGATTTCCATTTTCCAATCCTAGTTGAATATTCCGAATCCAGGACTGTCATTGGTTGAAATTTACGATTTTATGTCGACATAAAACGAGCAAAATCATGGCATAATCGCTCCCAGGGGGGGGGGGGTCGTCGCTATGATTCACAAGTAGCAAACTTTGCGAAAGATATCTGAAAGTATACCAAAAAGGCAGACTAATGTCTATCCAAAAGGTATCTTGCAGTCATACGATAACTTTTAGTTAACTTCTTGACATAAGTTACCTTTTTGGACAGACATCCCAAGTAGCAAACCTTGCGAAAGATATCTGAAAGTATACCAAAAAGGCAGACTAATGTCTATCCAAAAGGTATCTTGCAGTCATACGATAACTTTTAGTTAACTTCTTGACATAAGTTACCTTTTTGGACAGACATTAGACAGCCTTTTTGGTATACTTGCAGATACCCTCCAGAACTGTGCTGCTTGGGTTAATACACGGACACGACACGTGCGTAGTTGTGAGGGCTGTGGCTATTTATACACCGTCCCGTGCCGCACGGGAAACTTTTCCGTTGTTATGTCCTATCCAAGTTACTAGGAGGACAGTAGCGCCATTTGGAATATTGAGCGCCAAACTTTGAAGTGTGGATCCGTTAGCCGCTAAACCTCTGATGAGGACTCCATCGATGTTGACACGTTCAATGATAGGATAATTGGATTGAAGGTTTATTTATGAATAAATCCAAACACCAGTGCTTAGGAGAGCACATTAACACTTTTATTCAAAATAACTCTTGACTCAAAAATCTAAAACTTGGACTACAAACTGGATGAACTTCTAATAAACTTATAAAAACTTTGAAGAAAAACTACTTGAAGAGAGAAGCTTGAAAAGTTGTCGGAACAACAGCCACGATGGGACTGACTTAAACTTAAGTTTTTAATCTAAGGTTTGGCTCAAAACACCAAAAAGACTAGACCAAAAAGTTGCGCGCGCAATCCTGGCCCAGAGGAAAGGGAAGAGGGGTATGCTAAAACAGAAAAGGGGAAATGAATAGAGGGAGGAAGGGAAAGCGTGCGACGTCGCCAGTTTTCCTCTTGAAGGGTCTCAGGCCCTCCGCGTAGGAATACAATGAACAAAGGAGAACCCAAACACGTGTGGACCACTTGAAACAGAGAAACTTTCGAAATATACCAGAATTGAGATTTTACGATTTTACGACTGTGACCGATGTGTTTATTTTTCTCTCTGAGTTTAGAATTTTCAGGAAAAGCCTTTCTGTAACAAATTTTGGAGAGTAATAAATTGAGAACTCAACTCAAGTACATGACATTTACGATTGCTGGCAACGGTTTTTCTTACACTCGTCAAATTATTTTTTGTCCATTGTTCATTGTCCTCTGTTCGACCATTTTCTTGGCATTCTCAAATTTCAGACTTTTTTATATTCATTTTGAAATGATAATTCAAATCTCGCGGATTAAAATGGCCGATAAATAGTGCCATCTATAAAATTCAATCGGGACGTTACACCGTTGTAACGTCCCGACGTTGAAAGAGTTACTTGCGTCGAATATCATTGAACCCTCATCTTCTCCATATAATTCTCCGATTTGGATACACCGTTGTAACGTCCCGACGTTGAAAGAGTTACTTGCGTCGAATATCATTGAACCCTCATCTTCTCCATATAATTCTCCGATTTGGATACACCGTTGTAACGTCCCGACGTTGAAAGAGTTACTTGCGTCGAATATCATTGAACCCTCATCTTCTCCATATAATTCTCCGATTTGGATACACCGTTGTAACGTCCCGACGTTGAATTTTATAGATGGCACTATTTATCGGCCATTTTAATCCGCGAGATTTGAATTATCATTTCAAAATGAATAGAAAAAAGTCTGAAATTTGAGAATTCCAAGAAAATGGTCGAACAGAGGACAATGAACAATGGACAAAAAAATAATTTGACGAGTGTAAGAGAAACCGTTGCCAGCAATCGTAAATGTCATGTACTTGAGTTGAGTTCTCAATTTATTACTCTCCAAAATTTGTTACAGAAAGGCTTTTCCTGAAAATTCTAAACTCAGAGAGAAAAATAAACACATCGGTCACAGTCGTAAAATCGTAAAATCTCAATTCTGGTATATTTCGAAAGTTTCTCTGTTTCAAGTGGTCCACACGTGTTTGGGTTCTCCTTTGTTCATTGTATTCCTACGCGGAGGGCCTGAGACCCTTCAAGAGGAAAACTGGCGACGTCGCACGCTTTCCCTTCCTCCCTCTTTTCATTTCCCCTTTTCTGGTTTAGCATACCTCTCTTCCCTTTCCTCTGGGCCAGGATTGCGCGCGCAACTTTTTGGTCTAGTCTTTTTGGTGTTTTGAGCCAACCCTTAGATTAAAAACTTAAGTTTAAGTCAGTCCCATCGTGGCTGTTGTTCCGACAACTTTTCAAGCTTCTCTCTTCAAGTAGTTTTTCTTCAGAGTTTTTACGAGTTTTTATAAGTTTATTAGAAGTTTATCCAGTTTGTGGTCCAAGTTTTAGATTTTTAAGTCAAGAGTTATTTTGAATAAAAGTCTTAATGTGCTCTCCTAAGCACTGGTGTTTGGATTTATTCACAAATAAACCTTCAATCCAATTATCCTATCTTTGAACGAGTCAACATCGATGGAGTCCTCATCAGAGGTTTAGCGGCTAACGGATCCACACTTCAAAGTTTGGCGCTCAATATTCCAAATGGCGCTACTGTCCTCCTAGTAACTTTTGGATAGGACATAACACCGTTGTGATGTCTTGACGTTGAAATTTATAGATGGCGCTATTAATCGGCCATAATAGTCCGCGAGATTCAAATTATTGTTGGAAAATAATTTAAATAGTTCAGGAAATTAAAAATATACCAGAAATAGAAGAATAAAGAAAGTCTGGAATACAATGGACAAAGAGAACGAAAAACAGCATCGCAAGCGTGAGAAAAACCGTTACGGAAATAGTAAATGTCAAATACTTGAGTTTTGCTCTTATAATTTACAACCCTCCAAATTCTCGTTGAGTAAACACTTTCCTCGAAAATCCAAATTTAGAGAAGAAAATAAATTTAACGGTTACGGTCCCATGTCGTAAAATCTCAGTTCTGGTTATTTCGAAAGGTTCTCTGTTTCACGTGACTAACACGTGTGGGCTCTCCATTGTTCATTGTTTCGCTAGGCTGAGGGCCTGAGACCCTTCGCGACGAAGTTTCACGACGTCACACGCTCCCCTTCT